AGGGAGCAGTTTTGTAAGCTATATTTTCAATATTTTAATTTAGATGTTAGCTAGAAGGTGCATGATATTAAGATCAAGTAAGCTTATAAAAGTAGTGCTACAACACCTAGAATGTTCAAGAATATTAGAGATCAAAAGACTTTGCAAAATGTGTAGAAACAAGGCTCCATTAAAAATATGAGAATCAATGAAGCATTGAGTCAGTTTTCAGTTGGTAGAATGCCATCAATTAGTGAAGTATTTGAATTAGCATTAGTTATTTCATACATACAATTACTTAACCAAGAACTGTGAAATTGTACAGGAAATTTTGTTTATATATTAGTCATACTACCATTAGTGAGTAAATCTTTGTTGAAATTTGAAAATGAAAGTGCTATTTGTGAACCACGGCCTACAACTGTATACAAGAGATAGTATACTGTAACTATTGTTAAGGACTAAATCAACTAATTTATTATCCCTAAGTGGACTGGACTTGGCTTTATTTTCATCAAATAATTTAAAAGAACCAACCCAATAAAAGAATAACAAAATAATTAAGGACCACAAGAGGCCTTTTAGTCCACCAAAGTAAAGTAAGTTGTTAATATATAAACTCTAGCTACCTAAGTTATGTATATGAATAATGAGCTCATTTCAAGTCACTCAGCTGACTGGTGTTGAAACAAATCTCTAACCTAATTCTCAAATACATCATCACTAGTGTGACTTAATCACTGATGTTTCCGGTTCTTAAATTAATCAGACTTAAATACTCATAAAAATGGGCCTCTCAAATTGAAATCTATGTACTTAATTGAAAATAAATAAGAAGCCCAATCTATCACTTCATTCACAACTTACTGCCAAGTTACACTAGTTTAAATGAATTCCACCTCTCATCACTAACCCTGAAAAAGTGCAAATCAAAAGGGTGAAACTAGGCTTCTTATCATGGTGAAGTGTACATGTATGATGTTTTTAGTTGTCTTTTACTCATTACCATGATCCTGTATTTATATAGGATTTGAAGAATATGTAGCAGTAATGTTATTATTTTATTCTTCTGAATTGTTCAGCAAATATAAATATAAAGCCCAATCATAAATTCACTGTGTGAATAATATACACTACATTACTATATGAAGCCTAGTTTCATTCCTTCCATTTTAAAACTTATCAAAATTCTTTGATCTTTCTTTTTTGTTACCAGAATTAAAAAAGTGTACTTCTGCAACACGTAAGAATAAGCTATGTTTAGGGTTATTCTCAATTTAAAAAAAAACCACCCTTCTTAACACACAGCTATATTGAGATCTAACATAACAGAAGTTGTTTACTTTTCCTGGTTAATACACATGGTCAGTATATGCTAGTTTAACCTTATTACATTCACAACTGTTTAAAAACTAATGAACTACGTACATGATCATAAAATATTTCCACTGTCTGTTTTTCGGTTTCTGAAACTTCTACTATTTCTTTTGATAAAGAAACCAAGATAATTAGTTTAGAACTCAAACTTTGATACACAAAGTTCCTACTATATCAGGCATTAAGAAAACTAGTTTTCCTCACCCTTCTGGATAAGATTTCAAATTCTACGAAGAGGTGGTAACATATCTTAGGACTTTACCTTAAAACTTGCAAGACCTTAGCAATAGATGCTCTTATTGCAATACAAATGTTTTAGATTTTTTGTACATCAGAAGTGATTCCTGAAAATTAATGTTTTGTTGGGTTTTTTTTTCCAGGAAGGAAGGATTAGAACTTTGCCAGTTACAGAATTTTCTAGAAAACAATACCTAACTTAATGTATTTTGTTTCTCAAAGGTGCTTATTAGTAAGATGAACCTAATGATATAAATGTATACAAGTGTTTCACTGCTATGAAAATAGCAATGGAATGTGAGAAGCTATTTACAGAAATTTTGAAATGATAAATAAAAAAAGGAAATCAATATTACATAGTATAAGACTAGTCAATTTTTATTAAGGTTATTGAGTTATATTTTAGTTTCTTTGTTAACAAAAACAAATTAAAACCTCATATAAAAATCAACAAGTGAGAAAATTTCATTCTGACCATCAGAAAATGACAGGGTTATGCATTAAATTTCTCTAAAACAGACACACACATAAGCATGTACCTATATGTCATAGAACACCTGCAGGTGCAAACCATCTGTGTCAGCTGGACAGATAACAATATCACACACTGTAGTTCAGAGATTATAGTTATTAATGAGAACTGGGAACAGAGATGCCTCTGAGGGGTTATTGTTTTGTTTTTATGAAGTGAAATATAAATTATTTACTACATGTACAACATGCTTACTGGGTACCAGATAGTTTTATGAGTGTTTATAAATGTTCCTGAATTTAAGAGCGAAGTTTTATAATCTTTTATAAAATACTGATAAGGCCTCATTTGGGATGATGGCATGAACTTTTTGTTTCCTTTGTTAGAGAAAGATTATTAATATGGAAATATTGCAGAGACAAGCTACTAGAATGATACTTTGTTTAACAATTTCACAGTTTGGACTTGTTTTCTCTGGAGTATAGAGATAACTTAAATCACACTTCAAGTTCTGTTAAGGATTTCAACAATCTGCCCATGATATCATCTAGTCTTGATGAAATAAAAATTATAAAAATGTTACTTTAGCATCTTCTAAGAATCTCGAAAAAAAAACAATAGGAAGTTTTTCATTTTGTCAAAAATGAGTTTAATGTAAGAGATAAATGAAGTTGGATAAAATATAGTGATTCATTAAGATGTTTGACAGAAATAGAAAAAAAAAGTTATTTGTATTTTTTACAGACTTCCCGATTACAAACAGGCTTATTATTACAAGTTTTTTTAATGGTAGGAAAAATGGCAGAGTAATCTTCTTCTTCAAGGCTGAAGAGTTCCTTAGTTCTTGAGACTGAATGGGGATGGATTGATCTCTCTCTCCAAGTATATCAAAGAATCTACTGGAGATGATGGTATTTTAGTAATGAAAAGGGCATGTTAAAACATTGTGTAAGAGCATTTGAGTATGAGACATTATAAGAATGTTACCTTTGTTGATTATATTGAAACTAGTTGCTCAGCAACATATATTCAGTGTTGTGTCCCAAATTTTATGGAAGTATCAAGAGAGACTGAACTAACAAAAAAAATTGAAACAAAACTTAAAAAAATTATAAATGATAAAGCATGATAAATTCAAATACATTATTTCTAAAATTGACATTCATACCTAAAGCCCATTCTTAAATGGTTGAATAATAGTTAAATTATAAATAACTAGAAAAGAAGAAAACCATATGAAAAATCAAGGTGTCAAAACTATTTGGTTCATCAAATCACTATACAATGCATCAAGTCCAAAAGTAACCATTCACAGCTATATACCTATCCAATATATGTTGAAAACAAGAAAGACACTCAGTAACGTACATATTTCCACCATGTCGTGTTAATCAGAATTGGCTCTCAAAAAATATGAAAATGCATCCCGTGTGTCTGTTGTTATCAATGGACACAGACTATTTTTAGCAGGACAATGAGGAATAATATTCTACATATGTCCACCATGTTTCATCAAAATCTGATCATTTTTGACTGAGTTATAGAAGAAAAATAGTGTGAAAAATTGGTCCCCATGTTAACAAATAGTGATTTTTTTGGATTTTTGTGACCTCAACCCTCCAAAAACCTAATCACTTCTAAGTTGTGTCATAGTCCAAATGTATAACAACTTTCGTCCAAAAATCCATTTTTGAGAAATCTTGCTGACAAACAAACACACACACACACAGGGGTGAAAACATAACATCCATCCACCTTCAGTGCCAGGGGTAATAAGTCAAACTGATGGCACATACCACATATTCAGGAAAACTGAAGAAATTTAGGATAAATTAGAAAAAAAAAAAACGTGGAAAATTGTCTTCATGGTCTTTTGCAATTTACAAAAATTCTCTAATTGGCACAACAAAGTATAAACTCAGAAAATCAACATCCTTAAAAAAAAAAAAGGAATGAAAATAGTGTAAAACCAGAATGTTTCATCAAAACTTACCAGTGCTTTTCATATCAAAATGAAATAAACACACCAGATCAGTGAAAACAAAAGAAAAATAGTAATGTCATGATTTTTTTATTGCAGTAATACCACACAATTCAGTCAATCTAATTAAATACTTTCATGAAATTCTTAATATATACTACATTTATGGTAAGTACACTGTTGCCCATTACGTAGTTATAAATCAAATCATCAGGCTAATATTGAATTTTTACTAACTGATAGGCTACTTTTTTCCCCCAATATGTTTTTCCACATAAATATGGTGACATAAATAATAGTAGCATGCTTCTTCATAAAGCTAAAACATGCATGTTTACTCAGTTACTGTTTATTGTTTTATTCTTTTAAAGATCATCACATATAGTTTCATGGTACTTTATGCAATATATTACAGAAAATCTTCTGCACACATAGACCTTTACTGTTACCACTCGAATTTTTAGTTTCCTATCAACTGTATCAATGCTTTACAACCATAAAAGAAACACTAGTGCTATGTTAAAATATAAACATAAAACAAAATATATATATCATTAAGCTCAAATGAGAATTTTAAACTTTATATTACCAATGTTGATAATACTGAAAACTTTTTCACATATTTCCAAGCTTGTTTACTATTTTAAGAAAAAATAATTATAGCATCATTAATTTTTTTCTTGTTAAATATAAAATCATTCTAACAGTAAATGACATTAAATCTATCCCATGCTCGTTGACATGATAAAAATGCCGTTGGACTATCAATGTACATCTATATTTCCGAGTGTGAGATACATGTTCTTATATTTTTAATAAAGTGCTCACGTCCGGCAATATTATATGGTCAATATTCATAGTGCCTCTGATGTCATAAGCCAATATTTTAGTCACGACAATATACGTAGCTTTTCATTCAGGTAGCCTACAGTCATTATGAAATACATTACTTACGCTCGGGACTTTTAAATCCAACATTTTCTCCCCATAAAGTCCAGCTTTGCACCTCGTCTTTACTATGATGAGTATGATCTGTATGTTTAGTCGCCATTCTCAGCACTTACTAGATTTTTTTTCTTTTTCTTTTTTTTTTATGGGAAAATACTACATTTACGTCTGACGTCACAAAAAGGAACTATTGCTTGTGACCTCTTTCAACTCTGGTTCCGGAAGTGCTAGTTTGATTTTTTGTCACTTAGTGTATGGCAGCACTTGCTAACCGATAATCACATCGGAAACATTATACATAAAAGTAAATACTGGATATTTCACAATGATCTTAATTGTAAAGCATTTTCATTGTCTACATTATTATTGTAAAAATAGAATTACTCTCGCCTAAAACAATTGCAATACAGCCTTGAAAACCGACTGTTTCAGTTAACTACAGAAAATTGAATCGTTTACTTAGAAGACTGAAATTTGTTTTGTTTGTTTTAAATTTCGCGCAAAGCTACTAGAGAGATATCTGCGCTAACCATCCCTAATTTTGAAGTAATAGACTAGAGATAAAGCAGCTAGTCAACACCACCCACTGGCTACTCTTGAGCTATTCTCTAACAACAAATAGTGGAATTGACCATACATCATAACACCCCCCAAGGCTGAAAGGGCAAGTTTGTTCAGTGACAGGATTCGAACACCTGCAGATTGCGAATCAAGTGTACTGACCATCAGGCCATGCCAAGCTTTTTTTTATCGGATGTTCCCACAAAGACATAAAGGCTACTTGCAAAAGCCATCCATAATTCGGAACTGATAGAGTAGATGAAAAGCGACTAGTCAAAAGAACCTACTGCCAGGTCTTGGGCTATTCCATAATGGGATATAAACATCTGTTACGCCTCAGGTCGTTTGTTAATTTTCTGTAAAAATTATTTCCGAAGAAACTTTAGCGATACAAATCCTTTCTTAAATAAAACTAGTTTATTCTTTTTCAATTCAACTTTGTAATACACTTAATTCCCACAGTCACTTTAAGCAGACGCTATAATTCACAATGATTCACGCACTTATTTACGGTCACTACCGCGCTTAACTCAATTGTCTGTCTTTATCTCTGTCTGTCTGCAATTCAATTCCGATTGATTTGTCTCACGTTATCCGGCGCACTTATATACAGGAATAGAGG